CGTCTTTGATTTGATTTTCGGCTTGACTGTTATTGGCATATATGAATGCCATTGATTTGTGTGCATTAATTTTGTATCCTGAGACTTTACTGAACTCATCAATTCCAAGAGTCTCTTGACTGACTCCTTAGAATTTTCTAGGTATAATAACATATCATTAGCAAAAAGTGAGAGTTTGACCTCCTCTGTCCCCATTCAGACACCTTTAATTCCCTTCTCTTGTCTGATTGCTCTGGCAAGGACTTTCATCACTATGTTGAATAGAAGTGGAGATAGCAGGCAACCTTGTCTGGTTCTAGTTCTAAGCGGGAATGCTTTCAGTTTTTCCCCATTCAATATGATATTGGCTGTGGGTTTTCATATATGGCCTTGATAATTTTAAGGAATGTCCCATCTATGCCTATTTTGTTCAAGGTTTTTATAATAAAAGTGTGCTGGATTTTATCAAATGCTTTTTCTGCACCTGTTGAGAGAATCATAAGGGTCTTTGTTCTTGCTTTTATTTATGTGGTGAGCCGAGAGGTAAAACAAAACAATAAGAACTTATCCAACAATATGAACAGAAATCTACCTCAAATATCAATCCTCTCAATAAATGTGAATGGCTTGAATTGTACTTTGAAGAGACATAGACCAGCTGAGCGGATAAAACATTATAAGCCAAGTATCTGCTGTCTCCAGGAAACGCATCTAACCCACAAAGACACTTTCAGACTCAAGATCAAGGGTTGGAAAACAAACTTTCAGGCAAATGGAAACCAAAAGAGAGTCGGGGTAGTGATTTTGATTTCAGACAGCATAAATTTTAAAATAGCAAAAGTAAAGAAAGACAAATATGGTCACTATATAATGGTGAAAGGAAAAATCCAACGAGAAGACTTAACAATTCTTAGTATCTATGCACCCAGCACAGGAGCACCCAGATATATAAAGCAAACCTGTATGAACTAAATAGCATGATAAACAGTAATGCCATAGTAGCAGGGGAATTCAACACCCCACTGTCTGAAATGGACAGATCCTCCAAACAAAAAATAAGCAAAGAAATAATGGACTTAAACAGAGTTCTAGAACAAATGGGTCTAACAGACATCTACAGAACATTCCACCCAAATAAAGCCGAATATACATTCTTCTCATCAGTTCATGGAACTTTCTCCAAAATCGACCACATCCTAGGCCACAAATCAGAAATCAACAAATTTAAAAAAGTAGAAATTGTACCATGTATCTTCTCAGACCATAGTGGTATAAAACTAGAGATCAATTCCAACAGAAATGCTCACTGCTTCACAAAGTCATGGAAATTAAACAATCTATTGCTAAATGACTGCTGGGTGAAGGAAGAGATTCAGATGGAGATCAAAAAATTCTTTGAACTAAATGATAACGGGGACACAAGCTATCAAAACCTGTGGGATACAGAAAAAGCATTCCTGAGAGGAAAACTAATAGCATTAAATGCTCACATCCAAAAGACAGAAAGCTCACAAATCAACAAACTAATAAACCATCTCAAGGAACTGGAAAGGGAAGAGCAAATCAATTCTAAACTTAGCAGAAGAAAGGAAATAACTAAGATTAGAGCAGAACTAAATGAAATTGAGAACAAAAGAACTATACAGAAGATCAATAAAACCAAAAGCTGGTTTTCTGAAAAGACAAACAAAATTGATAGCCCTCTTGCTGGATTGACAAGAACTAGAAAGGAAAGGACTTTTATAAACTCAATCACAAATGAAAAAGGAGAGGTCTCTATAGACAT